ACCCAGGCTGGAGCACAGTGGCCTGATCATTGCTCACTGTAGCCTCGAACTCCTGGGCTCAAGTGATCCTTCCACCTCAGCCTCTCAGGTAGCTGGGGCTACAGGCATGTGCCACCATGCCCAGCTAATTTTTTTAATTTTTTTGTAGAGACAGGGGTAGAGGGGGTGGGGAGGTGAGGGGGTGGAAGGTTTTGCTATGTTGCCCAGGCTGGTCTCAAACTCCTGGCCTTAAGTGATCCTTCCACCTCCTAGAGTGATAGGATTTACAGGTGTGAGCCACTGCGCCCAAAGGGTAATCTTAATACTTATAAAAACAAACAAATAAGCAAACAAACCGACAATAACCCAACAATTTTATTTCAAACAGGAAATATCTAGGTGGCTTCAGAGCAAGAAAATAATCTCATATGTCCACAGATTGTAGAATATAGGCCATCAGAAACATTTCATATTTGTGTTTTGTTGTTCTGTTATCAGTACAAAGCAGTTGGGAAACTGGATGCCTTTGGGAATGTTGGGCTTCACGGTTTGACTGACGGTGCATCCTTTGATGTAAAGCAAGTTCCCTGGTGCTTGTGACTCACAGAGACTCTTTTGTCAAAAGTAACATCAATTAGAGAACCTTACAGGGAAGAGACTAAGGATGAAGAAATTCCCTGAATGTAATGTTTGGGATCGGCAGGGAAGGCACATTAAGACTTAGTAAGACCAAGGGTGGCTTAGGAAGGGAGGTCTTCTGATAATGTTTTTTAGCAAATAAAAGCTATGATCAGATTGTTACCTCTTTTCTTCCTTAGTGCTTCAGTAACAGTGGGAATAAACCCAGACAATGAGGGTCTTCATATCTTAAGATCCGGGAGCATTATGTTCAGAAGGTATATATGTTCTGGAAGCTGCCGATTCCATTTCTTCTGGCCAGCCAGGAACTGTTGGCAAAGAGTCCCAGCCAGTTATTGATCTTCTGAAAGGTGAAGGGAGGCATTGGACAGTGTTCAACCTTCCACGTGATCTTGGACGACTCAACTTCCCTGAGATTTTGTTTCTTCATCTGTAAAATGGGCAGCACGGTATGTACCTCAGATAATCATTATGAGGATGAAATTAGGTAATATGCGTGAAAGTGCTTTGTGAATTGCAAAGTCCAAAAAGTTAATATTATCCTTCCAGGGACCTTCCACCCTAAAGATTCTGCTAGACCAGGATCCAGTGGCTTTCCGTTTGGGTATCTAGGGCATGTGTAGAATGACGGATGAGTGTGGGCATTGACATAACTTGTCAAATGTCTGCTCTCAAGTGGGCAATCAGGAAAATGAATTTGAACTGAAAAGACAGAGTGATGCATTTTTCATGACTGAGGGTTACAATTGTATTTTAGGTTATTATATACTAAAGACCGGGAAATTAATTGGTGCCCTCTAAAATACAGAAGAGCAAGAGATTAATCTAGTAAATGGTTTCCATTAAAAAATTCCATTTGGTTTCCCAAATTTATCTTGTCTCCTGAGGTTTCTGAATGCCAGAGTGTCCTCCCCTTTGCTTTCCGGCTACATTCTATTGCTTCCTACATCCCCAGGTTTGGAAAATATCAGTATTTATACAAATACAAGCACAACATAACTAGAGACTTAACCCATTAGCTCCCTAATTCATGGATTTGTTGACTGAAACCATAGTTTTTTCTTTCAATTTATATTTTGGTTGATACTTAGAAGGTAATCTTTGTAGACACTGAAGAAGAGGGTTTCGGTGACACTTTCATGTAGATAATGCAGCTGAGACCATCCAAATAAGGCCGTGGTCAAGGTTCCAAGTTATTAGTGCTCACCTAGTAAGAAGAATTCTCATCAAGGATGAAATAAACAGGGCAAGAGGGAAGGTATTTTCAGGGGACAGTCAGTGCTATTCTGGAGGGAAACTGGTAGAGAAGAAGTCAGCGTTTCCAAACCTTCATTTGAATGTTTTTCCAATTAGGTGTCCCACATGGCTAGCAGGGAAAATTGGGTGGATTCCACCTCATTCTTATAAAAACACAGAAACTTGGATGCCTTCTTTTCTGAAGAAACTCTTAATACCAGACCAATTACACATCCAGAACCGCGCATGACACTACATTATAACACTAAGTTCATATTTCTCTGGTTTGTCCTCAGGTTGTTCTGCCTTGCAGTCTGGGTCAGGGTCTGGATGGTGGATTTCAATGAGAAGAACATAGATGAGGCCTCCAATGACAGCACCAACCAAGGGACCCACTACAGGAATCCACCAGAAGTTGTTTCCAGCTCTGAAATCAAACAAGAAATTAGTGAGACATTTCCGGGCCTTCCTGCTGGTATTACTGTCCCTTTGCTCAATAACCAGCTAGTCTTTCTCATGCTCACAGCTCCATTTTGACTCAGCAAGAGCTAAGTATAAGGGCACTCTCTGTAGCAGGGCAACCATAATCCTAGGGTTTTCACTACACCTGATTTCAGATGATCTATTCCACTGTCCTACTAATACTTGGGGGAGATTATGTCCCGTATATTTTCCTTTTGGAAAATGTAGTGCCTGAGCCCCTGGTCAAGATTGAGGGTCCCTAGGGAAAGCTCAGGTCCATTATTCAGAAACTACCTTTCCCTCATCCTGAAATATTGAGGCCCAGAGATCACGAAGGGAAAGGAGATGCTCATTACGTGAAGAGATTGGTGGGCATCACCAGCCTATGAGGGCAGTCAAAATAAACCATCGGGAAGTGTTTGCCGAACAATGAACGCATTTAAAAAGTCTAAGGTGGATATGTGGATTTCCCACTAAATATGATTTAAACCAGCACTTATATTTTGAGGTCGTGGCTCTACTCTCTGATAAAGCTTTTGTGCCATGAAACTCCTTCTCTCCCAGAAATCCTTGATGTCAGTACGCGACAGCAGAGGCATAGTTCTGGGGGAAAGCAGGTGTCCTTGTGGCTTGTCATCATTTCTTTGGAGAGAGGAAATTCATTTAAATAACTCCATAGAAAGGACCATGAACGCTCAGGAGCAAACAAAAAGCTATACAGTATATCGTTTAAGGATATATACATTTGAAATAAAACTACTTTTAAAAAGCAGGGGAATGATAAACACAAAACTTCAGGATAATGTGGAGGGGGGAGCTTGGGGAAACAGGAGGCACACACATGCGTGTGAGGATTTCAGTGTTGTAGTTGAATTCTAGAAGGGTCCATAGCTGTTCTTTTCATCATTATGCTTAATAACTACACATATGTTCCATGTGGCCTTTTGTTTATATCAGATTTTGATTAGAAAGGATAATAAAGGAAGTAAGTAGAAAACAAGAACACTATTCTAGAATCCTAGTTCCAGTCGCAGGACTCTCTAGGTCTTTGGGTGGGTCACTGTGCTCTCTGAGCTCCCGTTCCTCTGCCTGCGAGGTCCCTTCTACCTGGAGCATCTAAGTAGTTTCCTGAATCTTGGATCACCGGTGCAGGTTTGACAGAAGAGCACCGTGATTGAGTATGGCAGCCACCAGATGTCACTCTTACCGCACAGGAGTGAGGCTGCTGCACTCGCTCTCACAGAGCCCTTTCCCGGTCCCCAAATCCAGATGGACTTTTCTGTGAGAGGCACGTGAAGGGCGGCTGCTTCTCCCATCTGGCTTTAAAGAACCGGGAGTATGCTCTGGGGGTCAGCACATGAAGCGAGTATAGTCTACCTTACTTGGCCCATCATTTCCTTTTATGGAGAGCCTCTCCCTATCATTTAGCAGATTAAGTTTGTATACCTGCCAGGACACTTGTATACCTGCCTCTCACTGGCTGGACCTCCTTCCTTCTATGAGGCCGGACACACTGTGTCAGGGTCACCAGTCATACATGGAGGGGCTCAGATGTGGTCACCTGCCTGGCCAGTCCTACATGCACACAGGGTCATGGTCATTTGCACACTCTGATTTGGGGGATGCCAGGAGCATGTCTGGGTTAATTGTCTAAAGGACCATCTCTAGGGATTCACTACTTTGGGTAAACTGTTTTAAAAGTTAATAATACTCCAGAGATCCTTCACCCGCTGAGTCGTTAACACCCTAATATGAATTAGTGGAGAGAACTTTGATGGGAAACATTCTAATATTTGAGGGAAAAGCAAGAGTCAGCTGGGGTGACTCGTGCTGTTGTCAGAGCCTCTGGTACCCACTCTCCCTGCCCTCCTCCGCCGCCTGCCACACGGGGACAAGTGAGGCCTGTGGATAAGGTAGCCTCGGTTTTATCTGAGACCTCAGGTGCAGGGCCAAGCTAGGATATCTACCGAGGGATTTACCTTGTGTATAGAACTCTGAGGGATGGGACACTCTACGGACACTTTGTAGGCCTGTTAGCCCTCCAGGGTTTTTAGAGAACTTTTTTGGTTGAGAATTATGAACCAACTGAGCTCTTTCCTAAGGGGTTTCTACTCCCCCACTCTCTCCTTTTTCAATCCATCTTAAATGGTGATGCCATATTAATTTTGCTAAATTGACATTCTAAACATGCCAAACCTCTGACCCAGTCCTTTGCTGTTCCCTAAAATCTACAGACCAGGGAGCAGAAAACCCCCAAATTCTCATTCTGGGAGTCCAGGTCCTCTCTGATCTGACAACTGCCCTTTCCCACCTTCTTCATGCACTTTCCCAGCTAGACTAGATCACTTGCTATTTTATAATAACACTGTGTCTTTGAATACAGGGTCCTTTCTGCCTGAGATGTCCCCTCTGGCACCCATTTAAGCATATCCAAATACTACCGAATGCTCCCACTTCCACCCCCGTAATTCCTAAATTTGGAGCTATAAACCTTCTCTGAACTCCTGGAGTTAATTAGTCCAATCTCTTTCATGGCACTTGACAGCTTCAGCCTTGTGTAAGAGCCTCCGCTATAACCTCTTACGTAGAGTATAAATAAAATGGTGAAGGACAGCTACTGAGTCTTACCCTCTTTAGCATAGACCCTCGAGGAAGAGACCAGGTAGCTGCATAAATGAATCAATGACTGCACGAAGGGAAAAGGTCCTGATGCTAATAAGGGACGAGTGATGTTGGGTGATCCCCACATTCTCCCACGCATGGGTGCTTCTAACACATACTCAAAGCAAAGAGAGACCAGGCAAGAGCTCTGTCTGTTTTGGAAGCACCATGGCTCTTGGAGCTTTGGATGAATCACCAAGGAGGGCTTAAGGGGAGTGGAGGAGGAGTGTGGTCTCAAGGCTCTGGAAGGTGGATGAGGGAAACTCCTGGGCTAACTCTGGGCCCTGGGAATAAAGAGATCTTTAGGACATACGTTTTTGACGCTCTGTTGGAAGATACAAGAGATCCTTTTTAATTGAGGACCTTTTCCTGTTCTAGTTGTGATTACTTTAGAACAGAGTTTCTCAACCACAACACTATTAACATGTTGGGCTGAATAATTCCTTGTTGCAGGTGTCTGTCCTGCAGAAAGGTGTCTGTCACCCCTGTCCACTAGATGCCAGTAGCATCCCCTCTCCCCACCTCACGTTGTGACAACCAAAAATGTCTCCATGCATCGCCAAATGTCCCTGGGACACAACTGCCCACTTCTGGTTGAGAACCACTGCTCTAGAAAACGTATTGCGTTGTGTATTTGTTGAGGACAGAGAATGTTGCTTGATTGCCTTTGTATCCTTCAACTGCTAGGGTGTGCCTGGCACGTGGCATGTATTCATTCTTCTATTCAGTACTTCTTATTGAGCCCTCCTGTGAGCCAGGCCTGTTCTGGGCACTGCGAGTACAGCAGGAAAAATCGGTCAAGGTCCTCCTGACTCTCACGCCACGGCTTTCAGTGATGTCCGCGGTGGTGATCTGAATGGTATCAGTCATTTTAAGCGCTTGTCTTCCACACTGCTGACAGGCAACCTGAACTCTCGTTTAAATAAAGTCATAACATGAATGTTACTATATGTATAGCTCAGCATTTGGGAACACTCAAGTCCTTTGTTCTTGCAGCACACATTAAACTAGAATTTGCTCACATGTGTTCTCCTACTTCCCCTTCTCTGTGGTGGAGCTCTGCTTCCTGATGCACCAAAATGAGTTCCTTTCCCACAGCTGCCGTGAGTGGATGGGGCCGGGCCTCTGCGGCTTTATGGGGAGAGAGCAGGAAGGAGTTAGTGGAGAGAGTTTGTCTTGGGAGACCGGTGCCAACATCTGGCACATTTCCTCAGCACATTCTGAAGTAGAAAGTGTGGGGTCTTTCCATTGCCTGGGCACAGGCTTTAGCTGATGTCTGTCCTGCCAGGAATTTCTTACTCCTATCTCAAGAACCGATTCAGTTTTCACTTCTTCAGCCATGCCTTTTTCGGCTTCCCTGGCCAAGTTAGTCACCCCCTTAGCTGTGTTCCCTCAGCGCTTTTAGGGGTTGCCAGAGCACTTATTATATTGCTCAAGGTGAATGTCTTTGCTGGCTTTGAAGGGTCTTTGCCTGGCACAGTGACACAGCAAACCAGCATAGGTAATTCTCAATACAGCTCTGCTGAACGAATGCAGCCTCAGTAGATGGTTCGTGAGAAAGAGCCCGGTAGTAGTATCAGAAGATGTAAATTCCCAGCGTGGTCACAAAGTGAATCTGTAGACAAGTTATGCAGCTAAAATGTTCACATAAAATCATGTTAACGTACCAATTGGAGGATTATTATTATTATATGGGACAGGACTATTTCTATTGAATTTACCTAGAGCCTGACTCTCGCTCTCTCACACACACACACACACAAACACGTACACACATCATGCCACAAAACGGCAGTGAAATGTCCCACACTTATGACCAGAGTATGTACTTAACCTTCTCACTCTCATCTGAACGCCCCTGGATCTCCAAGTCAAAGCACACCCTCCTTGCTTTGGAGGGGGCGCAGTGTGAACCTGTCCCTCTCCTCCCCCCCATTGTTACTTACGTGAAGACCTCAAACCCCCATCCTGCCAAGGCTGTGAAAAGTCTGGGACTCAGGTCTCGAGCTGGGTTCATGGCACAGCCACTGTTCAGTCCCAAAGAGGAAGCAATGACAACAATCAGGAGGCCAATGACAATAGGCTGTAGGCTTTTGGGGACTCCCATGTTTCTGGAGTCAAAAACAGCAAAGACGATTATGAGGAGGAACATGGTGGCCACTACCTGGAGAGGGAGAAAATGTGTGGGGGCTTTAGCCTGTATTCTGCCTGCTGGCCCATCTCAAAATCCACCCCTGCTTGTTAAAAATAAACTTAGTGATAACTAATATAACCAGGTAAGTACACTGTGCCAGCTCTCTTCTTTCTACAGCAATCCTAGAGGTAGATGCTAATATTAACATAATTCTCATTTACAGATTGGTTACCTGTCCAAGGTCACACACTTGGCTTGGATCCAGAGAGTACAGCTACAGAGACTGTACACTGAGCAGTGACACTGTCCTGCTAAGCTACTACCCAGCTAAATAGAAAGGCACGCTGCAAGCTGTCGAAATGAATGAAGGGCTTGTTCAAATTGGTGAGAAAAATGATGTGAGATGTCAATAGATGAATGTGCAAAGGAAATGAACAGAAAATTCATAAAAGAAGAACAGAATGAGAAAACAAGTGGGAAAAATTGATTTGTAATAAAAGAAATGCAAACAATACCAAATGTTAGGAAAAGGATACCAGTTCTTCCGAATTTGTCTAGCAGATCTAAACAAGTACCACACTTTTGAAAAGAAATTCAGCAATAGTTTAGCAATATGTATTACAAAACATTAATCTATTCATATAATCTGATGCTGTTGGATATTTGAGAATTATACCAGGGAAATAATCTAAAACATAGAAAAATCCTAAAACAAATATATTCACTTTAGCATTATTTATAGTACCGAAAATGTAGAAGCTACCTAAGTACACATCAATAACATAACAGCTAACTTTATTGTGAAATGTCCATTATATAGCCTATTATATAGCCATTAAAAACTATAAATATAAGAATTATGTAGTAACACTAAAATGCTTATGATATTAAGTGAAAAAAAACAAAATTGCACATGCATTACATTTTATACAGTTGTCCCTCAGTGTCCACAGAGGGTTGGTTCCATGACCTACTGCAGTTACCAAAATCCATGGATGCTCAAGTCCCTGATGTAAAATGGCACAGTATTTGCATATATTAATAACCTATGGACATTCTCCCATATACTTTAAATCATCTTAGATTACTCATAATACCTAATACAATGTAAATGCTATGTAAATCGTTGTTATACTGTATTATTTAGAGAATACTGACAAGAAAAAAGTCTGGACCTGTTCAGTACAGATGCAAATGTTAAAAAATATTTTTGATCCATGGTTTGTTGAATCCATGGATGTAGAATCTATGGATACAGGGGGTCAATTATTTGAAACCACACATAAAAGAAAAATGTAAGAGAATATACAAAAATGATAACAGGTATTCTGAATTGGTAAGTTTTACCTGGTGTTTTCCCCACTTTCTATTTTCTAAACTTTCTAAACTATTACTTTACTTTAACAGCTAAAGGGTGGCTTTTATTTATTGAACAATTATGATGCGCCATGTACATCATATGCTTTATCTCATTAAAACTTCGTGACAACCTAGTGAGGTAAATCCTATTATTATTTTCAGTTTATAGATGAGGAAACATGGGTAGAAAGAGGTTAAGACATTTGCCCAAGGACACACAGCTCATAAGAATCAGGCTGGGAGTTAGGCAACTAATTTTAAAGCTGTAGCTTTTCACCATTTCATCTGTTTTCCATAATAATAATAATATTAAAAGAATTTGTACTCAAGGAGACATGTTCTCCCAGGAGCACCCTTTTCCAAAGTCTCCTGGGCAGAGTAGAAGCTCTTGCCTCTGGGCTTCCGTGACGTTCCGACTTGACTTCTATCACTGCCCTTGTCCCCCTGCAACAGAATGATCTGTTTACTTGTCAGATTGCGAGTCAGACCCTGAACTCCTTAAAAAAGGAACAGCATGGAGCTTGCACCTGGCTCTGTAGGTGCCCAATAAATATTTATGGAGTAAATGAATGATTGATTATTAACTAAACTGTGAAATAGGCTTGAACAATATTTAGAGCTAAACAATTTAGTAACCTTAATATAAGGTGACCCCAAGATATGGTCATGATAGCCAAGAGTCTTGTTGGATGTTGACTGAATGATAAAGGGCAATTTTCTGAACTTCCCCCAAGCCTAAGGAATACAGAGGGCCTTCAGGGATTGCTAATGGCTGGAGCGCGAGGGTTTTGTGATATTGGTTTTCTCTACCTGGCTATAAATAATAACTGGCTTCAAAAGCAAGGTCTTTAGAGAAGCTTGCAACTCACTCAGGCACAATGAGGAAAGCGTAACGATGGCACGTGGATCTGCATCAGTCGAGACGTGGGTAACCCTCAGTGAGGCTGGACCTCCTCTGACTGGATACCAAGCAATTTCCTTGTGTCAAGACGCTTAGAGAAACATCTGGTCATAGGAACTGGGAGACTATATGAAATTCTACAAGATCCCATGAGAAGAACAAATGTAGGTGGAAGGGAGAGAAGGCTGGACAAAGGCAGAAAAATTACCATTTGTTGACTGCCCAGTATGTACCAGGGATTTTATAGCTGTGGTTTATTAGTTAGGTATGTCTGATGCCATTCATCAGGAGACTAAACTGAGGCTTCAGACAGTTCTTAGCAACTAGCACAAGGGCAAACTCATGGTAGGAGGCAGGGCTGGGCCAGATCGCCCAGCACACTGCAAAATTCTGAGGCAGGCTGTGCCACTCTCTTGCCTTTGGCTGGCCTTGTTTCAGGGATACCTCTGGGTCCTACTGGCTCCCAGGAGGGGAAGGGCAGTGTGTCTGCAGGAAGGAGGGAAGCATCACCCCAGGACCCTGGAAAGGGACTGCCTCTGGTGTGAAAATCTATGGGTCAGAAGCTTCACTTTGCTCCTCAGATTCTCAGAACAGGGGGTGGCTGTGGGTCCAAATCACCAGGAACAAAGACAAAGTTCTTTTCAGTTCAAGTCCAGGTTGGAGAAAGTCAGCACTTTTTCTTTCTTGCCTCTAATGGAAATGACCTGAATTCACATGAGAAATCTCCAAAGATCCTTCAACAGCCCTCTCCTCCATTCCTAATTTCTTCATTATAAGATAAATTTGGCCTGAACTGAATGGAATAGTTTTCAAGAAACCCTGCAACACTTACTCATCCCCACAGTCCGTTCTGAGGCATCCACTGGTCCCTTTATTGACTCAGCAAATACACAGTGGCCTGCTCTAGGTCTGCATGGGCACTTGAGGCTTAACAGGTCCCACCCTCCTGTCCTTCCTGACCTGCCTATGAGAATAGACTGCTGGCACTTTGAAGCTAGAAAGAATCACCCTGTCCATGCACTGTTCTTAATAGACTCATACCCAGAGGGTCAGGGACTCCTGCCAGCCCGCCTTCAGTGCTTTCTTACCCGACCTCCATCCTTCCCTCCTCACAGCGTTTGCTGTGTTGCTGTTCCAAGAGTATGAAACAACTACACTTCTGCCCTCTTTCTTCAGATGACTCCAGTGCTTCCTAGTTGTAAAACTCCTTCTGTTTCCAACTGACTAATCCAGTCTCAAAGCTGGAAAGGACCTTGTAGGTGATTTAAGCCTTGATTTCTAGAAAAGTCTTTCTTTTATTGAATGTAACTTTATTTCACCATAATTTCATTCATTTATGGACTCATTCATGCATTTAATAAATATTTTTGAGCACCTATTATGTACCAGGCATTGTGCTTCCACCAAATCTCCATGGGGGTGGGGAGTATACACATCAATCCTAATCTCTTTTCCACTTGACAGACCTTCAAATCTTTGAAAATTACTATCATGTCCCATAACATCCATTCCCCCTCCCCAAATATCCCATTCTCCACTCATTGCTTGTGTGACATCATTACCTTTTTTGGTGCTCTGCTTCAGTAGCATACCCCCTGTAAGTGTAACACTCTGGAAATTAGTCTAACACTCCCAGTATGGAGTAAAGTAAGATCCTCAACTACTTCATTTGAATATTATGCTTTATTATTGCAGCTTGTGATAACATTCCTTTTTCTGGCAGCCACACCTCTCTGTATCCTTCCCACTGAAACTTTTCCTATTGTCCTAACTCTTCCAGGATCTCTGATTAAAATTACTAATGGGACCCCTATGGTGAGATTTTCTATCTAATTATATTTGTTTTGCATTGTTCCCTTGTTCTTATGTAATAATTGTGCTCCTCAACTAGATTCTAAATTTCTAGGAAGATACTGTTTACAATGTCTTTTCATATATAATTCTTTTCATCATTATAAGTAAACTAGTAAGAACTAATATTATCCCCATTTTACAAGTGAAAAACTTGAGACCCAAAAAGTTCAATAATTTATTGAAACCACACAGGGAGTTGAGGGCAGAATAGTTATTTTAATTCAGGTACCCAGACTCCGAAGCCTGGATCTTTGCAGCTCACATTTACTTGTCAGTTCCTCAAGCTCCAGACATGGGGCCAAACACATAGGGAGTTCTCAATAAATACTTGTTACCTGTTTGATTTATTGATAGAAGTGGAAAGTAAAAAGGCTAAGAACATGAGGGTATAATTTTCATCCATCCATTGAATGAGGATGGCCATGGTTGGTAAACTAGAAGATCCATTTTACACATATGCCTGCTCTGATCTGCCCCACTGTGTAAGTCCCTATCACAAGGAAAGAACTTAGAGATACTGGGAAAGATGTCTGTCCTTCCTTCCTTCCTTCCTTCCTTCTTTCCTTCCTTCCTTCCTTCCTTCCTTCCTTCCTTCCTTCCTTCCTTCCTTCCTTCTTTCCTTCCTTCCTTCCTTCCTTCCTTCCTTCCCTTCTTTTCCTTCCTTTCCTCCATACATTGCCCTAACCAAGATGACCAAAAGCCTTCTTGGGACACAGTAAGGGAGAAAGAGTCTTTGGGTTGACGATGCTGATTCTGCCTAAAATTGACCAGAACAGGTGTGCTCTTGGCTACACCACAGATGCCTGGGTGTCAGAAGCTTGTTCAAATGTCAATAAGGCAGAGACACTTTTAGCTACCTTGAGGGTTTGGAGAAACCTAAGCACATGGTGAGACATAGAGAATCTGTAGCACCCCAGGCTCAAATAATAACTACCTTTCCCAGTTCTTGCCATGAGATAGAAATGCCTTCTCCTGTGGCCTCCACACTTAGACCAAGTGCTCAAAAGAGACAACAGTAGTGAGGTGGATCCCATTTTCCTCTACATGGGTTGAAATGTCCAATCATCCGCTCTTTTCTGGGCCTTAACTGATGTGAAACAAGTGCATGTACTAAAGAGGAAGCAGAAAACTCTTCTAGTGGTATCAACTTCTGCAAAAGCAAAAAATTGTCAAGAAAGCTTGGGTTATGCTCAACGACTTCTGCCTTTGGAAATACAACCTCTTCTTTCTGATAGGCCTCTAATGCTCCAATGCATTCCCCTTATTACAACATGTCTTTTCACCAAAGTTAAGTCTTTACACTTACTTGGTCTGCAAATGCATTCACCATAGATAGATACGGAGCTGGGTATGTTGCAAAAATGTGCGCCGTTGCATTTTCTCCCACGATGAGCAATTTTCCACCAGCAAAGGACATAAGTCCATCTATGAAAGACAGAGCTCTGGCACATTAGCATTCTCTGGGAAGGGTTGAGGGAGGCCTAATCCAAGTCATGTGCTAAACAACTGCAGTCCAGCACTCAGGTTGAACTTGGCATATCCATGTCATTTGTCTCTCTCCACTTCATAGTATGGTAGTGTTAGAGCTGCCCAGGGGAATCCCAGGATGGCAGGTCAAAAGTAGAAAGCCCTTGGCTGCCCTCAATGGCCCACCAAACTCAGACCAAATCCTTAGCTAGTGGAGACTTAAGGAACCAATCTTCTCTTAGGGGGAATTCTTGAACTTTTTGAGATCAACCTAAAGCTGAAGTAGGGTTTAGAACTGCTCCAGACAGAATTCATAATTCCCAGAGGGTTCTCAGTAACCCCTAATGCCACTCCAGAATTTGAGGGTATCACAGTATAGTGAAGATACCCTTAGAGCCAGGGGGATGGCAGCCATCAACACAGTTAGCACCAACCCTGGGCTGCTCTTGCCACAGAAGCTGGCTCTCTGAATTTCTGGTCCAGTCTTGAATTCAACTTTAGTCTTTTCAGATTCTAATTCTCAGAGAAATTCTCTGTAAGGAGAGGCTTTTTTCCACAACCTATTTCTCTTGGGTGATTCATAAATTCTAGTTCCTACTGTCTTCAGTTTGAGAGTCCTAAAGTATCGGGGCTTACCTTGAGTTAGACAGAGATAATGCTGTAACAATTGATTTCATGGAATGATTTCATGGATTTCATGGAATACCATTTTGAAGGGTTTTTGGAATCATCTAATTCAATCATCTCATTTTCCCCACCTACCCCATGTCTCTGCCATGCCTCTTCCTTCAAAGATTCCTTCTCTAAATACTTACTTACTTTTCCACTGATCAACACCTCCTTCCCCAGCCCAATTTGAGAAAGCAGCAGGGAATCCACTGGCTGGTAGCTTATTTTGTGCATGTTCACATTGTTGTGCTGGTTGGGCCTAAAGACAGGCTACCTTTAAGTTCTGTCCCCCATTTAAGATATGACTATTTTCATTAAGAGCCTTCATGAATTTGCTCTACTGATGATGTCGGCCTCATTTTCTTAAATTTAAAACTTCCTGCCAGTTGTAGAACACTTCCTGTTCTCACTTTATCTCACCTCTTCCTCAAAAGTGGTTCTGACTTTCACATTATGCCCAGCTCTCCCTAACCTCACACTCAGGGACTCTACTCACCATAGTAAATACCGAAGAGGGTTGCAGCCCCCACAAAGGCTCCCAAGAACTGGCCTCCCACATAAAAGGGCAATTTGAACCACTTCATCCGTCCAAAGACACACATTGCAAAAGACACAGCTGGGTTGATGTGGCCACCTGCAAGGAAGAGAGGATGATGAGAGGTGCCAGAGGGCAGGCTAGGAAGGAGAATCATAAAGAAAACCTTATCTGGAGACCTCAGGCAGAACTCAGTCTTCTAGGTAGAGAATTGTGTGAGGAGAAAAGAGGGGTGTGTTTGTGTGTGTGTGTGAGAGAGAGAGAAAGAGAGTGAGTTTGGGGGGGAGGAAGGGAGGAAAAATAATCCTCATGGCATCTTTACATACTGTTTACAATATTTATCTTTATGAAAAGGGAGTCAGATATAGAAAGAAACTGGCTGTGCTTAAGTGGCTCGTTTTTAATGTGGTTTTATCTATATATAAAGCAATAACTCCAAATATAGATTGATGTAACTATCAACTTCAATATTTTCGTAAAAGTCAATATGCTTATACAATACATGTAAAAGATTTGAATCTATGTCTAGCAATTCCTCAGTCCATGCCCAGAGAATATAAAAACAATCTTAGGACTGAAAAGAGATGTTTCTTTCAGGAGAAAAGATCCCTGGTCTCTGGGCGTCTCCCTGAGGTTAGGGGTGTAGTTTATTTTGAGGTGGTCACAGTGTCTGAGTGGAGTCTCCTCAGTTCCTCTGCATGAACAACGAATTTCTCTCACACAGAAAGGCAGCAACACTTCCCTCATCCCAGACCACACTACAGCTAGAAATCAGCCTCTTTGGTTTTCATCTAGTCACAAGGTCAGATTGAGGCCAGGGGTAGCCACCTCCAGTCAAAACACCTCCCTTGAGATGAGTCCACCAATGGGAGATTTCTTCTTTTAACAAGCTCCTCTTCCAAAACACAGTTTCCCCGAGTTAGGTTTATGCTTGTTAGCTCCTCACGAGCACCCTGAAGGTGGAACTATTATTCACCTTGGACCTCGCGGCATGCCAGGCATCTAGTAGGGGTTCGAGGCCATATTTAGATAGCTCAGACTACAGAGATCTGCAGAGAGGGACAGTTGTTTGGGGGTCAGAGAAGGAGTGCCTGCAAAGCAACAAGGAAAAGGGTCCTAGAGGTGGTGGCAGAAAGGCTCGAAAGGGAAGTGGACAAGTGGCACCCTGACCCCTTTGGCTGGAGACCAGGCAGCTACTAGAAATTTCTGCCTGCAGAGATGAGTGGTCACCCATGGCTTACCACAAGGACAAGGCAGAGCAGCGTGGTAGAAAGAACATGAGTACTAGAGTCAGAGAGTCCTGCACTGAAATCTTGGCTCTGCCAAGGTCGTTGGGATGATCAGATTATTCATATGAAGAGCCCAGGGGTGCAGGCTGAGCCCGCCAGGCACAAGATCAAAGTCTTAGGTGAGCAGAGTGAACTCGTTCAAGGTTCTGTTCTATGCAAATCCCCTCCTCGCCAAAACCCACAAAAACTTAATGACAAATACAATGTAAGGTTATATTTATCACAGAATAATCTTGATACTTCAGGGAGAGGCCCAGCCCAGAGACCAAGGATCCTTTCTCCTTAAAGAAACATCTCTTTTCAGTCCTAAGATTGTTTTTATAGCCTCTGGGCGTGGACTGAGGAATTGCTACACATAGATTTAAATCTTACACGTATATTGTATAAGCATATTGACTTTTACGAAATATCAAAGTTGATCGTTACATCAATCTATTATGTTTGGGGTTATTGCTTTATATATAGATAAATCGCATTAAAAATGAGCCACTTAAGCACAGTCAGTTTCTTTCTATATCTGACTCCCTTTTCATAAAGATAAATATTCTAGACAGTATCAAGATTATTCTGTGATAAAGATAACCTTACATGTCATTTGCAATTAAGCAAAGCCATTTTGCCTTCTCAATACATTTATTTTACTTATAAAACGCTACATCAAAAGCAACTACCATTAGGCAGCCTAAACACTTTGGGAGGGATGCCGCATTATTAGGGTGTTGTGAGCTCAGACCAACTGGATTTGATTGGCACGTCCTCCAGGGAGCAGGATGCTATGATTTTTTCACAGTAAGGTGGTGTTTTGTGTTTAAAAGCCAAATGTCCACTGACCTCACCAGTCTGGGACCACAAAATGGGGTCACATTTATATTTATGCCCATATACATTAGTTATTTTTGGAATCCTCAAAGAGGGTCTCACGTGTGCCCACAAACCAATGTGATAGCTGCAGCCACCAAGAGACAGTCACCTGCCACACACAATCTTCTATTCCTGCAGCTGCTGAAGCCAATACTGATGCTACTACTGTTTGCATAGACATCACAGTTGCCAGTGTGTTGTCTCTGCATGTTCCCCAAATGTTCCCAAAGCCACCAGTCCCCAGGGAGCCTAAACTGTGCTAGGTTCCGAAGGGAGATGGAGCAATAAGGGCTCCCATTCCAACCCAATGCTGCCTTTTATCAGCCAGTCTCAGACAACATTCTATTTGTGTTCTGGGGTCTTGAGGTCTCTCATAAACAATTTGGTAGGTTCTAACCCTCACCCGGAAGTACAGCCTCTAGTGAAAACAGGCTCATCAGTTCTGGCCCTTGGATCCCTAACCACAGGGGCTTAACCCCAGTTCAGGGGCCCACAGGAAAAGACCCCACATCCCCTACTCCCTCTTTTCCTTCCTGCTGGTCCCTGCCCCTTTTCTCCCTACAATGACAGCTGAAATCCCCAAGTATATCAAAGGACACCAACAGATATAAACTGCAGTGGTGGTGAAGGGTATTGATGACATTGGTGGGGTCTCAGGCCAGTTAATCCCAAGTAACTGCTTGATGATGTTCAGTTCAGAGTGTTATGCAGGCAAAATACTGCAAGAGCATTTCTCTACCTAAAAAATAGCTGAAAATACGCCCACATCTACACTGTATGGTTTGTAGAAACCACACTGATGTGAATGTAATGGGAGCTCGTGGGAGCAGCAGCGAAGCATCCCGCATGCTTGTTTTAAGCCAAGAGTGAGCTTGGTGTCTGGTTTCAAGGCCTGCACTCTAGTTAACCTTGGCACATTCAGGGAAGGCCCTGGTTGTTCTTGTACCCTACTCAGAGTTTGCCTTGAGGTAGGCAATACGGTGCTGGGATCACAGTGAAAGAACAACAAGAGTTTGAATGGACACAGACACTGCTCATGCCAACAGTCACATATACAGGAATCTAGAGCCCCGACCACCTCAGGATCCAAGTCTGGCTACAATATGAAAAGGGTGCCAGACAGGAAACGGCCATTGCAGGTGCCCAGCCCAAGGAGTTCCTGGGGAGTCTGGGCAATCCTTCTTCAGTGCTCCAGGGGCAGTGTTTGCTAGCAGGCAGCCAGCTTGCCTGCAGGATCCTCTGCCCGAAGGCCCTGCCTACAATGTCCTTCCCATAATAGAGCATTGGAAATGCTGTATAAGAATGGGGACACGAGCCTCACTGTCACGCAAACCCGGGTCAAATCTTTGCTCCGTGTCTTTACCAGCTGCAGGATTTCCAGCAATTTACTGACTCCCCCCGAGGAGGGATTTCTCTGGAGAAGGGAGATAATAATACCTGCCTCGATTGCTGTTGTAAAGGACAGGGAGAGAAAGGGTGGCCAGCACCCAGCACAGTGCACAGCATGCAGTGGTGGCTCAGTTCTCCTTCTTCCCTTTTCACCGACAGAGTGCACACACCAGGCTGCTGAAAGATTGTGAGCACCTGCATCATTTCCACAGCCCCTTCCTAAGTCCCCAGACTGCATTAAATATCATCATTTCATTTTGCTTTGGAGAACCTTGTGAATTGCTTCAGAACAGAATGGAACAGAATTCTTGGGGCAGAATTAGACTGAGACCTTCCAGATCAGAGCTGCACTTCCATGAAAGCACCATCCAGTTTGCAAGAGGCCCAGACTCTCCCTGATTGCTGTGGATAGAGGTCCAGGGACTTGCCTATGTTTGAGTGACCTTCACTGGCTATTCACAGGCTATCCACAGGATATTGGGAAATGGCCTCCAAGTGTGGGATACGCCAAGTAAAAGATCTCATCAGCTGATGAAAAACATGATGCTGTGGCCAGACCTAGGAATGAATCAGGTGTGAGTTCTAACCCCATCTCTATCTCTTGCTAAACATTGCTTTTGCACAAGTCACTTACCATTCGCCAGCCCTTTTAATTTTATCATCTATAATAATAGGATCCAATACATATTCCTTCAGGATTGTTGAGATCTAAATAAATAAAGGTATGTAAAGCACCCGGCACTGTGCTAGCACATTGGAGTGTTAATAGTAGCTAATATTATTTCTACTGCTTACCGGAGACACCTGCAGTCACATAAATGGCCATTACAACTGCCATTGCAAATCCAACATTGATAGTGACAACTCCTCCAAAAAGACCTCGACTGAGGATAGCTTGGGCAACAGAGCCACATCCAAGGACCTGGAATGAGAGGAAAACTCAACAATGGAAACTCACAGTAACATGAAGTATTTTTAAAGCAAATGCATGGTTTGGGCTGCCTTGGGTTTTATATGAATCAAATTATAATGATCCAGCTATGCACAGCCAGCGAAATGGTGGATCTGGCTTACAAATCAGTTCTACTGGGTCTGCACAATGTTCAAATTTTGACTACATTTATACATCAGGTAATTTCATGCAATGATCCAGGTTTCTGGCCTTTTTTTAAAAAAAAATTAAACTTCTTTATTTTGAGATAATTATAGAGTCATATGTGGGTAAGAAATAATACAGAAAAGTCTCATGTACCTTTTATGCATTGGTTCCTTTTGATTAATCAGAAGACCCAGAAAGCCATAGGGAAATAATCCGGAGCAGAGTAGCAGTTGGCTACTCCCTTGAAACAGAGCTTGTGCCTTCCCAATGGGCTCGCTTCACTTCACTCATTTAGGTCACCTTCCTGGCCCCTGTAGGCATTTGAGTTTGAGATCCTTGCTCTAATGGCTCCCAGTCTAAGCCAGATCAGGCACACAAACAATCGTGCACACATCCAACTAGTGGAAAGGCCATTTGGACCATGTCTTAGAAAGAGTGTCTGATATGCAAGAAAGCCAAAGGAAAACCATGGGAGGATAGATTTGGCAATCAGGCCTTCCTTATCTCCATGTCTTTCCTCCCTGATGAGGCTATAGTTTCCTAGAGAGCACAAGTTACCAAACTCATTGCTTCTTGTCTTCCCTGTGGCACCACGCACAGTGCTGTGCTCATAGTAAGCACTCCGCAGACAGCTGCACAATGAAGATGAAGTGTGACAGTGAAGACAATCTTCAGCTGGTAGAGGATATTTTGGAAAATGGAGTCAGTATTCAGAATGGTTTAGAATAAATATATTATGGTGCATCCATTCAGTAGACTACTAGGTAGCCACAAAATAGAATGAAGAAAGTCTGTGTATACCAAAGTGGAAAGGTCCCCAAGGTCTATTATTAAAGTTTAAAAAAAAGATGCAGAACAGTGTTAAAAAATACTGCCAATTGTATTGAAAATACATTGTATGTGTATCTTTTTATATACATGGGCTCTTTACTGAATAGGCAAGAATCAGGAAATGGGGTTGGATTCTGTGGGGGAAAGTGAACGTCTGGGACAGGTGTTGGAAGAGAATTTTTTATTGTATACCTCCCCTTTTTTTAGAAAGAGTGTCTGATTTTAGAGTGTCATGTATTTCCTAATTTTAGAAAAATGGGTCCTACATATTTATTGAATAACCAGTTAAAGCCATTTAATCATAGTCCATTAAAGAAACGTTTGGTGAAGGACAGTTCTTGGAAAAGATGGAACAGTTGCCTACAAGTTTGGTAGGAAAACAACAAGACAACAAATGACCACCAGTTGTCATCATGCTGTGGTTTGAAAAGCTAGTGTGGCCCTGGAGGTATAAGTTCTGCACTATAGGAAGCGTTAGATGATTGCTCTTTGTATGTTGAAGAGGCCAAACATTTCCTAGAATAGAGTCCAGTTTGGGGTTCACAACCCAAGAAGAGCAACTGAGTTGACACAGGGCTCAGCGTCAAGCTATCAGTATCGTGTAAGGGCAGGAAAACAAGGCATAGGTGGAAATGTTTCAGAAACAAATGTATTTTAGGAAAAAGAGATTACCAATGCGATGGCTTCTTACTAGGAAGATAATAACCTGGTACTGTGTCTCTTCACAAAGGGGTGAAAAGGGAAGAGTATGAAACTGAAATATGAAAGGTTGCACACAAACAATTTCCTGTTTGTGATGAGTTGATTCTAAATAGCTCCCCCACGGCTCATCTGCGAGGTCCTTTAGAGAAATACAATTTATGAACGAGAGATATTTGATACATAGAGAATGGTTTCAGTGTACTCCTCTCTGAAGGCAGAGGAATTAGATGATCTTTAAATGTTCCTTCCAGGACATACTTCTAAGATGTATTGATTGTCTTCGTTCTCACTGCTGGATAGTAAGTCGGGGGAAGGAGGAGAGCCTGATCCCTCAAGGGAAGCTCTTGGTCTGCACATCACATGCACAGGGCAGCCTTTGACTTTACTCACTGTCTTGGCTCCATAGCCTGCACTGAGCGTTAAATAAAGTCACAGCAGAACATGTTCCCTTTCCTTTTCAAAAAAATTCCCCTGAGTCCATTTCATAGCCTACCAATGTCCCCTAGATTTGACATTATTTTTCCTAGAATCCCTATCTATTATAATAACTGTCAGAATTAAAACCACATTGGTGTCTTTCTTTTTAATTTAAAGCCAATTAAATGCTCTGGGCACAACTTCCAAGCTAACTGACATTTTAGTAGTATTTCCTGCAAAGAGGAATAAAACAATGCTGACAGCTGAGATGACCTAATTTAGACGACCAGGACTACAAAGAGACACACCCAGAGAGAGGCCAGGCCTGGGCTATTATTGCTTTCCAAATAAGTGTCTCCCCTCTTTTATGGTTATGATGCACATTCACTTGTGCTAGTCTAGAGGGGACATAAAAGCTTTAAATGGCTCAAGTGGACCTGGGGAGGCCTCTGCCCTGTCAAATTTTGCTATGATTAATACTCAACTCTTCCACCCTAGATGCTGAAATTGCTTTTCTAAGGAGGGTAATCGATGCTGTGTGCTGCAGGATAGAAGTAGGAGAAGAGATGAGCAATGTGGGGACTTCAATTATCCTCATCAGAATTGCCACTCAGAAGATTGCAGCCCAGATTTACAGCATTGCGTCTTAATTTTAAAATACATTTATTACAGCCTGAAAAGCAATGAGGCGGACAGATAGCTGCCTACTAGGATCCTTCCTCGCCTGCCTCTTCCCTCCTGTACTCACAGCACCAGGAAGGCAGATGGTGGGCATTCTGGTTTCCTTCTGCATGCTCAGCATATTTTTTTTTTCCTTCAGAAATAAGAGAACTATTCTTTATATTACTGTCAATAAAATTTCCAACATGATTCCCTGCTCTAACCTTTAAGAACTGCCAGACTTTGCCCCTTCTTAGACACAGAAAGACCCCATCACCATATCCATCCTGTCTTGATTTTTCTGGTCTCCCCATCTAGAAAGCATTTTTAGGTCCATTGCCCATTCACATTCTTTTTTTTTTTTATTTATTATTTCAGGGTTTTGTGAGGGTACAAACATTGTAGTTACACTTTATGTCTTTGTCTCACCCAAATGTGGGTTAAAGGCATGCCCTTCCCTCCCTTTAGTGCTCCCCGTGTCCTTTAGTTGTAGATTTGCCCCCCCATCCCCCTAATCCCTAGAGAGTATTTCTGCCATGTGATCAATCTAGTGTTGATCAGTTAGTACCAATTTGATGGTGAGTACAAATGGATCCCCTT